ATCGTCGAAGACCGTCGACCCGGGCCAACTCGGACCGACCCATGGTCTGTGCCTAGCACTACTTGGCGCCGACCAGGCCTCGACGCTGAGGCCACCTCGGCCAAAAGGTCGAGAACCCTAACTCGACTCCCTTCGATCCTCGTGCAGTCCAATCTGAAACCCCGCTTGATCTCGACCCTTGATTTGACATTAGATCACGATGAAGCACATGGGCCAAGAAGTCCAGATCTCCTAAAGATACTAGGGTTCAACTTCTCTAAACCCTAGGGAGATTAGGATTCAACCTCTATAAATAGGGAAGTAAGCCAAACCCTAGAGGTATGCTAAAACCCCTACTCTCCCCCTACTTTCCTCCTTGGACTTCTCCGATACTAACTTAAGCATTGGAGCCCATGTGGCCAAAGCCACACCGGTCCTAGTGCTTTTCTGTTTTGCAGGTCCCGTCGATCCCTTTCATACTTAGAAGATTGGTGCAAATTTGACGAGATCTCAAGAGACCAAATTTATGCATCAACAATTGACGCCGTCTATGGGAACGACTAAGATCAAGCCAAGACGATCAAATTGGCCGAGCACTGCTCGGATCCAAGGAGGTCTAGCGGAAAAGCAAATCAACCGGGTGTGAGACAGAATCCAAAGAAGAAACAAATCAACATGAATCTGGAGATAAACCACAACATTCTGACGACGAATACCATACGGCTAGGAGGATATCTTTGCCTGAGATGGCCGAGGGTGAGGCATATCGACAACTTCCTGAGTAGGTCCTAGGCGACACAGGACGACATATTCCAGGACAGTGACTGACGAAAATTCTTGAACAAAACAGATTGGCCACTTTAGTAGAAAAGGTCGCAGGGATGGACCAGAGCATATCCCTCCTCCTCAAAAGGCTTCAGCAACCAGGAAATAGGTCACCTACACTTGTCCGAGATCCATGGAAAGGCAAAGCTTTTCACCCCAGGATCTGGAAACTACACGATCACAGAAGTTAACGACACAGAAAACCCGACCAAGCCTCGAGAACACCATGGTCGACAAAGAAGAACCACTTAACCAACATGCAGGAGAATCACAGAAGCATAATGGCGAACTGAAGAATAGAGAATGCGGTCTCGAAGAAATTATAGATCAGACAGATTCGCCATTCGGGGAGGAGATAATGAGAGGAAAGATCCCTCCAAAATTCAGACTCCCTGCCATAAAGCAATACGACGACTCAACAGATCCTGTAGACCATCTATGCACATATAGGGAATGGATGGACCTCTACGGAATAACAGAGGCAATTAGGTGCAAAGTATTCTCTTTCACATTAACCGGCACAACTCGCATATGGTTTCGACAATTGAGAAGAAAATCAATCTTCTCCTTCAAACAGCTGGTCAGGGCATTTATCACGCAATTCATTGGAGGGCAGGATAGGAGTCGACCTGTGACCTACCTCTTTACCATAAAACAAAGATCGACAGAGAGCCTTGGAGAATATGTGTCTCGCTTCAACGAGGAAAGATTACTAGTCAGAGATCTTACCAACGGAATATCACTACTTGCTTTCATATCTGTGGTAAGAGAACAAGAGTTATTGTTCTCTTCTAGGAAAAGGGCCCCAACAACTTTCTCAGAAGCGTTGACTCGAATCCAAAAGTATATGGACGTAAAAGAGCTACTCCATTCAAAATGGGATCTCAACAAAACTCAAGACCTATAAGATCAACGAGACCCTAAAAAAAGGTATACCCCAACGGCAGTCCCGCTCGAACAAGAGTCAGGGGAGAGCAACGAGTATTGTGGGGATACTACTACGTCATCTTAAGAAACCACAAGATAATGTCATTTTTAATGATTAAATAGGTTTTTATTGCTTACAAATTAGGCAGTATATGTCGTTTGATTCAGATTACGTATGATTTTATGTTCCAAAAAACGATTACTTATTTCTTATCAATTCTAGCATCTGAGATTTAATTAGCTTTTACTACTTGAGCATTTATTTTTGTTCTAAGCAAAAAACTCCTGTGGGGGGCATGGATAAGCTGATTAACAATCGGTCAAGGAACTTGAATTGGCATAGATCTAGAAGCAGGCCGATAAGCTAAAAAACCAATCAGTGAAATCGGGGAAGAGAATCTCGAAGGTGCTGAAAGGCATGCGTACAGACCCAACAAGGTTAAAACAGAAAGCAGGCATGCCAAACTAATCAGCGAAACCCATGGTATAAAACCATAGGAAAAAGACAGATAAGTTAGAAACTCAAGGGTGGTATCATTGGCCCAGCTAAAAAGTTATATCCCAAGGCTAACAAAAGAATATCGATTGGACTCAAGGTATAAAACCATTAGTAAAAGCCAAATAGGTTGGAAACCCAAGAGTAAACCTTTGAGTATAAAACCATGGGCAAAACCCAAATAGGTTAGAAACCCAATGGTTGTACAACTAGCGCAACTAAAAGTTAGATCCCAAGACAAAAACCGTATGTTTATATATAAACTCATTGTTTTGAATTCTCCTACCCATTTTATAGAAGAACAAAGTTCTCCATCTCTCTCAAACCATCAACAACACCGTTCAAGTGCTGAAATACAAACAAGTGATTTTAGAGAAATATATAATTTATAATAAACATATATATAATTTATTTTCCAATTCCCATGGGGACTAATGAGATCTTGCACTAATAAATCACAGAAAATGTTTGAGAGTGGTTTCTCTTGGAATCCAACCATCTTTGGAAACATGGATTGTACTACCATTTCCAACTCTAAGCCTTTCATGAGCAGTTTCTTCCTAAAAAAAAGATTTTTCAAAAGAAAGAAACTGATTTACCGAATCATTCTCCAAACTTGCTTAGCCAGAAGAGCTTGATTAAAACCTTCTAGCTTTCGGAAATTCAAACCGCCTAATTAATTCTTTTGGTTGACAAAACTTGTCCCAACTGATCATTCAGTGAATTTTCATACGAGAACCAGTTGACCCCACCAAAATTTGGCAAACATCTGAGAGATCTCTTTGCAAAAACTAGTTGGGAGCCTGAAAACACTCGTCGCATAACTCGGAATGGTTTGGCCGACACTTTTAATAAGTAGTCTTTCCCAGCAACCGAAAAAAATTATCACTTCCAACCCTACATTGTTTGCCAAACTTTGTCCTTCAGATTCTTCAGGTCTTCAGTTTTCCTCCTAGAAAAGACAGAAGGAAGGTCAAGATATGTTCCGAAATTGTCCACAAGCGCACACCAAGAATAGCCTGCAAATACTTCCTTCTATCAACATTAATGTTAAGCGAGAAGCACATCACATATTTATCAAAATTAATACGTTGTCTAGAAGCTTTCTCGTAGCCATTTAAAAGCCTTTTCATCACCAAACACTCGCCACCATCTACCCTTAGAAAAATGAGGCTTTCGTCTACAAAGAGGACAAACCCAATTGAGTTCCTCTTAATCTTTTTCCAACAAAAATATCTAATTTATCATATCATGGCAAAACTAAATAAAATTCCCCAACATTTCAAAAGTTTTAGTTTTGCCTCAATTTTAAAGTTTGTTTTAAAAAATAGTTTCTATTTTTAAAAATAAAGCTAGTAAACACTATTTTTACCTATATATTTCTTTGTTTTGCATCTATTTTTTTAAATATAAATTTAAAAAATATTTTTTTTTTCAAAGACAGAGTTTTGTAAACGTGTTTCTCAGAAAAATTAAAACAGTACTATGATACTAAAAAAAATTGTGAACAAACAAGCCTATTTTTTTTAGAAACAAACTAAAAACACAATAGTTATAGGCCTTAGTAATTCCTATTAAAATGCCCAACAAAAGTGAAGAGATTGAAAGTGGATTTGGAATCAAAACTTTTAAATAATTAGAGGTCAAAGGTAAAATTGATACAACTAGTCATATAAGAAGCATTTTATGTCCCTTAATTGGACTAAATTTCGTAAATATTTATTAACGTCGGTGTGATATGCTCGATTAGTCTATATAACTTTCTACTATGTTGTCAAAATAAACATAGTTTAGTAGATATTTAGACGTAGGAAGTTCGATGCGCATATCACTAAATTGTTGAACTAAAAAGAAAAAATTTTCTACTACGGCATGCGAATCCAATAGTAATTAATTTTTTTATATTAAAAGAGTAATTAATTAATTAATTGGACATACCAACCACATTGGTATTCGATAGAATGGTATCAACAATAAAGACTAAATTTATTGACTTGTTTGAACTTTTAAAATCAAAATATTAAATGGACGCCCTACTCAAAATTTATTGAATAAATTTATATTTTAGGTTAAATTATAAGTTTAATATTAAGTTTTTTTTTTCTAATAAACACTTTTAACTTTAAAATGGGTAATACTTTCTAAAATTTTCTAACTTTAGATTTTTGTACCTAATAGGCCCACAAATTTTGTTTTAAAAATGTTAAATAAATCAAAGACTTATTAGACACAAAATTGAAAATTTAGATAGACATTTTTTTGAGGTCAACAATGAACAAATACCTTTTAAAGTTTAAAGTCTCACAACCCTCAAAATTAATGAATATACATGTAATTTAACATTAATTTAACTTATTTCTTGGCTAAATACAGAAAATAGTCCCTAAATTTTAATTTTTTTTCTCAATTTGATCATTAATCTTCTAACATTCTCGATGGATTTGTCCCATAAAATTAATATGTCATTAAATTATCATTTTATTAACATATTTAGATATGTGAGCATGCTAGAAGCAACAATGAACATACTAATTAAATTTGGTTAATTGGTATGTTGAATTTTGTTGATGAGTGGATTTAGTTTTATATGTCAAATACCATTTGAATAATAGGTTTACAGAGTTTGAATAGGTTAATAAAACAATAGTTTAATTTTTTTATCAAATTTTTTCATAGAATGACTGAGAATTTTCAATGCAAAAGACCATTTTAGCCTTTTCTTTTTCTTCTCCTTCCATTAAAGAAAATTTTCTGGCCCAAAAATATCAGAAAGAAAAAAAAACACCGATACAGTCGATTCATACAGTCCAGAGGTATCCTCCGTTCTCCCATCAAAAGGCCTTCGGGAATCGGAGCAAGAATTCTGGCGGAGCCCATAGCTCATGCAGAACTATTCCTCTCGCCTCTATCAAATTCCCCATCAACTCTGATCGAAGCAGCAATACTCTGAAGGAATCGACAATCAAGTTGCCGGCGGATGGAGTAGAGCAATTTCTGCGCAACAATCCGGCTGGAGTTTTTGTTGCCGCTGATCTGCAGCGACAGGGAGAGAGATCCCACCTATTGCTTTAAACTGCTCTACAAGCATTCGATTCCAATTGCTTTCCCCAGAAGGCTCCATTGGGGGATTTTTCCTCGCTTCGGAAAGAATCTGGTCGTAGTAGCGATACATGTGTGGTGACTGAGTCTGTTTATGGATATACTATATTTGGAATTCAACCGTCGAGCGTCTGCACTGAGGGTATTGGTCTTTTATCTCAATTTGGGTTTTGCTCAATATGACTGCTATGTCACTAGTTTTTTCGTTTCCGTTTCGCATTATGATAACTTTAGGTTGTGTTTATCTGGGTTTGTCTAATCGGTGTAAGAATGCATTTGGATTTGTTGACGAATGGTATTGCTGTGTGTGTTTTGTTTTGGTGGTTAGGTTATGTTTTGTTGCCTTCTTGTTGAGTAATGTTTCTTAGCAATAATCCGTATTAAGGGAGAAGAAAATGTGACAATCTTTCTTGGAATCTATCATCTCTCTCTGCTTTTAGTTTATGTAATTCGATGTGTATGGTTAGTACACGATATTTTTCTATTTTATATACTGAATCGAAGGTTGAAAGAAATGTTTCTTGTATGGCAGTTTGCTTCTCCATTGATGCTCAATGGCAATTAAGGAGCGCATTTCCTTTTTGAAGCATGAGGGAACGCTCAGTCAGAGAATCGAATAGGTGGTTGCTGAAGTTTTTGTAGCAAACAAAAACCCTGCTGTTATAATAAGACAACAAAGCAGGGAAGTTTATACAGACAAGAAATAATGGACTGTAATAAAGATGAGGCTGCAAGGGCTAAAGAGATAGCCGAGGAGAAATTTACGGCAAAGGACATTGTGGGGGCTAAAAAATTTGCTTTGAAGGCAAAAAATTTATTTCCGGGGCTTGAGGGTATCTCCCAAATGTTAGCCACGATTGATGTCTATATGTCTGCTGAAAACAAAATAAATGGAGAAGTAGATTGGTATGCAATACTCGGTGTGAATCCACGAGCTGATGAGGAAACAGTGAGGAAACACTATAGGAAGCTAGCTCTTGTTCTTCACCCTGATAAGAACAAGTCTATAGGAGCTGATGGGGCGTTTAAGCTTATTTCTCAGGCTTGGAGTCTGTTGTCTGATAAATCCAAAAGAGTAGTATATGACCAGAAGAGGAATGGTAGAGTCAACAAAAAGGTTTCAACTTCAAGGGGGAGTTCATCTTCACAATCTGGGAGAAATGGTTTTTACAATTTCGCAAATAGTGCTGCTATGTCGTCGAATATCAGGGGACAGAAAAGTGCCACCCGATCAGATCATTCTTCTGTTTCATCTCAAAAATCAAGACCGACCTTTTGGACTGTGTGCCATCGGTGCAAGATGCAGTACGAGTATCTCAGAGTTTATCTAAATCATAATCTTCTTTGCCCCAACTGTCATGAGCCATTTCTTGCCATTGAAACACCCCCACCCCCTTTAAATGGTGTGAAGTCTAATGGATGGGATTTTACACAGCCAAGTTATCAAACTGGCAGTAAAACTGCGTATAGTCGAGGGAGGAGCAATATAGCCTCATCATCATACATGGGACCAGGTGAATTGAATCACTCTACACAGAGCCCAAGTGACCTTCAATGGGGTCCTTTCTCAAGAATGGGAGGTACTTCATCTGCGGCTCAAGCTGCAACTGTAGTTCAGCAGGCGTATGAGAAAGTGAAAAGGCAACGTGAGGAGGCACAAGCTGCCAAAAGAGAGGAACGCAGAAAGCATCAGATGTCTAGGAAAGGCTCTGGTGCTTCAGGTACAGGGTACTCTGGTGCTGTAAAAAGAAGAAGAGGTATAGATGACATTTCCTCCAGTTCCCATGCAAGAGATATAACCAATCAGTCAAAAACTGGCATTGGAAGGACAAGGTCGGCCAATCTGTCTGGTTGTACCAGGGGTAATGTAAATGGAAATACCACACTCAAGAGCTCTCAGGATGTCTCTCTTAGTGAACTTCAGAATTTATTAGTGGAGAAGGCCAAGAAGGAAATAAGGAAGATGTTACGTGAATTGAATTCAACAACTTTAACTACCGGTGCAGTCAAAGAGGGAAATGAGAATGAGAAGGTAACTGGGAAGGGAGAAACAGCTCCGGTCTCATGCAAAAAGCATGCTAAAGACATGCCAATAGAATTTCTGAATACAACTAGTGGTTTTCCAGGCAATTTAAGTCCCAGTGATGCAGAAACAATGTTAATAAATGTCCCTGATCCAGATTTTCACGATTTTGATAGAGACCGTACAGAAAGCTCTTTTGGAGATAATCAAGTCTGGGCTGCTTATGATGATGATGATGGCATGCCTCGACGTTATGCCTGGATTCATAGTGTAGTATCTTTGAACCCATTTAAACTGAAGATTAGTTGGCTAAGCTCAATAACGAATAATGAATTGGATCGACTGAGCTGTGTTAGCTCTAGTTTCCCAAAAACTTGTGGGGATTTTGGAACTGGGAGGTGTGAGATTTATAGCTCCCTTAATTCTTTTTCGCACAAGGTTCTATGGTCAAAAGGCACTTACGGAGACATTTGCATACATCCCAGAAAGGGAGATGTTTGGGCTCTTTACAGGAATTGGTCCCCGGATTGGAACGAAGTGACATCAGATGAGGTAATACACAAGTATGACATGGTTGAAGTTCTTGAGGATTATAATAAAGAACTGGGTGTTACCATTACTCCCCTCGTCAAAGTGGCTGGTTTCAAGACCGTATTTCACCAGCACTTGGACCCAAAACAAGTTCGAAGGATTCCTAAAGATGAGATATTTCAGTTTTCTCATCTCGTACCTTCACATTTGCTTACAGGTCGAGAAGCCCCAAGTGCTCCCAGAGGTTGCAGGGAACTGGACCCTGCAGCCATGCCAGTCGACCTTCTTCATGTCATTGAAACTGCCAAGGAAGAAGAAATCATAGAGATTGAGGACTTGAAGCCACAAAGTTCTGTGAATGAGATTATAGATGTTAATGACGAAAAGACGGAAAACAAACCTAAGGAAGGAAGGAAGGAGAATATAGTCAAACCTGTAGCAGTAGAAGTTGCGGAAGATGTCCTAGAACTTAAACTGGTCAAGAAGACAGTGCACTCCAATGAAATGGAAGTTTCTTGAACATTGGATTATCCGGTCTTCATGAATATAAATGGTAAACCTTTGCGGAAGCTGATTGGAAATAGTTGACAACTTTAGCATTCTGACCATTTTTTTTTTCTCTTCAAGGATTTATTAGATGGATCCGTACTTGAAATCATAGCTTATAATGTTACTATACATTTTAACTAAAAGATCTTTTAGAAGGTTAATCTATACCCTTTTTATGCCACTGTAGCAGCTTGTGGAAGCTCCCTCGAGTCGTGTATATTACGTGCTAAACAGAACCACGTTCCTAGGATTTTGCAAGTTCAGTATGTATTCCCTCTCATAGCTGTCAGTTTGTGGCCTACTCAATTTACCATGAGTAAGTAATTACTTTCAAATCATGCATATTTTTCCTCATTCTTTATCAGCACACAAGACTGCTTTATATATTTGTTTTTGGAATCGCACTGTTGAGTTGATTATAAGTTAGACAATATCACTGATTATTAGCCATTTTACTCCCACTTTAGAGTGGCTATTTGTTGCTACCCTCAACTCGGGTTCGTGTTCCATATAAAGAAAATGAAGAAGGTGAATATTGAATGTTGTGGACGACGCTTCTCTTTCGACGAATAAGAGAGAAGAGGCCTTAATGAGAATCAGGTTCTTTTTGGTTCTTGAGTTGTCTGTATTATACTTGGCCACTCCATTCCTAACATATGAGTTTTATTTGCAGCAGTTCATTGAGCAGCTGTTTGGATTCATTCTCTTGCTTCTTGAGCAGCTGTTTGTGCCTGAACTGAAGTAAGTTGAAAGGGGTGGGGATGGATTAAGTTTGATTTTTTTTCTTCTTATGACCACTTTAATCCGATTAACCTACGTGCTCGATAGTGGATATTAGTTCACTCGACACTTCAGTTGTCGTGTTGTGCTACGTAATCTTTAATTAATACAATTAGCATTCCTAATAAATGTTAACCAATGTAGTGAAGAAGGTTAGAGATATAATTGAAACCTTTTATTTTCAGGTAAAGATTAAAAATTTTCCAAATACTAATTTACTTATTACAACTTTTTTTTTTTTTTCTAAAGCACATTTGTGATCAATTATTTTAACAGTTGCGATAATTCAAATTCGGCTTAAGTGTTGAAATTTTTACTTTTTAATAGGCTTCTGTTTGAAGAATCATGAAACGAAGCATTTTTTTCGTGCAAAGTTGATGAGATTCCAAAGAAAAACAACATTCGAGCTGTCCTTTTAGATGGAACTTGTGAGTTTTGGAAGGGTTATGTTGATTTTGTGCATGACTTAATTTAAAACGAAACGGAAGTTGAATTTAAAGTGAAAGTTACAAAAAAATAAAAGAAAATTAAACATATATAAATCTAAAGATTCAATCGGATGAAATTTAAAGTTTAAGCAAAAAACTGAACATCCTTTACCAAATTTAGAGTCAAAATTGATTTTCTTTTTTCTAAGCATGCGATTCAAAATAGAATTTGATTTTTTTTTTCTATTTTGAATAAAAAAAAGGTGGATTGGAGCCACCATCCATTAGGGTAGGCCTACAAACCGTTTCGACTGACCAAAATCGATCGAATTGATCTCAATCGGTCGGTTTTATAACCCCGTTGGTTGGTGGTCGGTTTGGACAAATTTCAAATCGTCCGTGGCGAGGTAATAGACCACGACATTCCTATATTTAAATCGTCTTGAATCAACTTTCAATATTCATTAAATTAATCAAATTATATTTTATTAATTTTTCGAATCGAGAATTATAGTCCAAGATGATAACATATTTCAAAAGTTTTTGGTTCCATTTAAAATTATTTCATGATTTTAGGGACAAATAAAATGCTATAAATTTATTATTATTTTTTTCTGTCATTTTTCGAACCTCTAGATAATCCTTCCTCGTACGGAAAACGATTTTCAGATCATCTCAGATGATCTTTCCTAGTCCAGGAAATAATTTTCGGACCATCCTTCTTAGTCTCATAATAATATTACTTTATCTTCAGTTTACAGTATTAGAAAAAAAAAAAAAGAACTTTTAAAAATTAAAATTTTTAATCCTTTTCAATCTAGAAAGTTTTTGAATATATATATATATATTTTATAACCGTTTCTTCTTGGTTAAAAAACTAATAAATATTATATTTTAAAAATAATTTTTCAAACCTTTCTAAATCTTTGTTGATAAAGTTAAAATTTTCCCTAATTTTTAAAGTTGTTTCTAACACAATTACAATAATAAATATGAAGTTTGAAACAGAAAAATTTGAATATTTTAAAAAGCAAAAGTTTTATTTTTATTTAATTTTTTTAAAACTGCAAAAACAGTACACTTCCTCAAAAAATTATAATATTTTAATGAGAAATAATTTAAATAAATATAAAATGTATATAAATTATAATATTTTAATGAGAAATAATTTAAATAAATATAAAATGTATATAAGAGGAAAAAAAAAAGAAAACTTGTATGGGGAAGAGAAGGAAGGGAGGGGTATGATTCTTGACCATGATATTAAATGTGTTGAAACGTTGACGTGTTCATCTATATTTTTATGTATCAATGAGTTTGACATCGATATGATGTGTAAATCAATATTCCTATCATATTACAAAAAAAATTCAACAGAATATGAAAAATATCAACATAATATTAATATTAATAATTTTTAACTTAATTAGAAATAGAAAAATGTTTATTTAAATATTTTTTAATTTCTCTATTTTTTTTTACAGAAATATCTATTGACATCGACATTTTAGTGATATTTTTATCAATGTTTTCATGAAATTGAGATCTCAACATTTGCATCGATATCAACATTTAAAACCTTATTGCTCACACAAGGTATTTTGATTTTTGCCTTAAATTTTTAATTTGTTTTAAATACACGTTTTTATTTGTATTTTTAGTTTGGTTCATTTTAGTTTCTATACTTTTAAAACGTTTATTTTTATCCTTGTACTTTCAACTTTGGTTCATTCGGTTTGGTCTCTGTATTCAAAACGTTCATTCTGATCATTGTATTTTTTAGAAAGCAATAATTTTTAACCTTTCATTTTCATTTTTATCTCATTTATTTCAATAAAAAATGTAGCCATAAATTTATTTTAAAAAAATTTCCATTGTATATAAAATTTATATTAAAATTTTGCAAATACGGACTAAAATGATAACTTTTTAAAATATAGAGACTGAAACGGAACGGATGCTTTAAAAGCATATGGACTCAACTAAATAAAAAGTTTTTTTTTTATTGACAAAACTTAATAAACAAAAGTTCAAAATATATTTATTTTTTTGAGTACAACATATATAGATGGGTAAAAAATTCAAAATATAAAAATCAAAATGGATATTTTAAAAGTACATTAAAATGAATCAAAATTCAGAATATAAATCACAAAATAGTATTTAAACGTTTAAAAGGAGAGAATTTTGACAAATACAAAATGTGCAAGGGCATTTAGGTCAATTACCCTTGAAAAATTGCGAAATTACATAGCTGCCCTGGGCTGGCGGGCGGGGTAAAGACGACCGAGTTGCATTATCTGGATCCCATGGTTTTGACGCGGAAACAGGCGCCAGATGACGTGGCAGAACAACCCCTCAACGTGGCATCCGATTAACCATTGACGTTTCGCCACGTACACTAACTTACGTGGTACGCTACACGTTACACTCCATAAATACAATGTGCGCAATAAATATCAAAAAAAAAAAAAAAAGGGATCTTGTTTCTGTTCGTAGATAAAATCTGTGTGAGTTTGCCGGTGGAAGAACGAACGAACGAATTCGACTCCAATTTTCCCCTCTCGATCCGATCGAGTTCTCTGCTCCAATTTGTTTTCCGCCTCCGAGATCTCGCTCTCAACAATGGTAATCATCTTTCTCCGTTCTAATTTCTTTGTTTTCAGCCTAGGGTTGATGGTGGAGTTTTCTGGTTTTTGTAGACGACATCGCGGCGTCTTGCAGATCGGAAGGTGGAGAGGTTCGAGAAGAACATTTTGAAGAGAGGGTCTGTGCCCGAGACGGCTACCAAGAAGGGAAAGGACTACCCCGTTGGCCCTATTCTTCTTGGATTCTTCGTTTTTGTCGTCATTGGATCATGTGAGTTTTGCACATTCCTCTTTAATCTGCGTTTTGGGTTTATACTTTATTGATTTTCTCAACCCAAAATTCTCCAGATTTGATAATTTCAATCAATTTGAACTTCTTGAATGATTTGTTGTTGAGGTTGACGTCCTACAGAGGCTAATTTGGACTTTAGGGTTGCTGGTTGTGCTTTTGCGCTGATCTCTGATTCCATTGTTGAATTGCTATTGCAGCTCTGTTTCAGATAATCAGGACGGCAACAAGCGGAGGCATGGCTTGAGCCATCTTCAGTTCTGAAATTCCAGAGGAGGCAGGGCATGAGGTTAATGTTCTTGTGTTATTTGATGTTTTGGTCGTCCTCTCTTTGGTTTTCTGCTAGGAAAAGAAGTTGGTAGTGTAGAAAGTAAAGACCATTTCTGGTCATCCTGTGAAGTACTTGAAAAGTAATTTGAATAACAGTGCACACATCTTATGTGCTATGGCTATGTTCTGCTTTTTCTGATGCGCCCTTTCCTTCCTTTTGAAGGAATTCCATTGGATTCTATGTTTTTTTTTTTCCGCATCTTATCCATCCTCGTAAAGTGCAAAACACTAATTTTCCTTCTAAAGTCATCTCAAAATCATCCCCAAATATAAAATAAAATAAAGAGCACCCTTCAAACTACATGAGCTATATTACATAATCTTATTATGCATGGTGCTATGAAGTCTAGTTCTTTGGACCAATTTTTTTATGGGTTTGTTTTGGTGTCGTGTCGCCCATGCCACATCTTTGTGAGAAGTCTTTGAAGGGCTTCCATTGAGCACATTTGATGATCAGTTTGATCAAATCAACAGACATGACGATTTGTTCTCTTTCCAGTATTTCCGTCTAAACTCTTAGATTCTCTTCATGATTTAATCATTAAAAAATAACAAAATATATATCAATGTGAAAATAAACTAATGAATTAAATAAAAGAGATCTATGATTGTGAAGCCTTGAGTTGAAAGACTAGTTCTTTGAATTGAAAAGTCATGCCCCACTCTCTGATCTATATCATCAATCCATCATTAAAAGGTTAGATTTGCAGGGGTCTACCATGAAGGTCAAAGTTGCTGCACAGAGAAAAACTTGTTATTGTAACATGATAAACACATCATCAGATCAAATACCTCCAAAATTTTAGGAACCAAAATAGCCTATGTGTTATACCTGAGCGTTGGATATGAAAAAGATGGGCAGAAATCCAAAGGGAGGTTAGAAGAAAAGAACAAAAGGGGAAGAGAAATGGTGGAGCATGAGAGATGAGAGGGTGTGTTGTTAGCCAAGGAGACCGCCTGTAAGACAACCCACGACACAGACACAACACAACACAACACAACACCAAACATAACTGTTAATTAATAAACTCTTGAGTAGCTTTGTTTTGTTTGTGAGTCTGTGTCTGTGGCTTGTTCTTGTACATATGAACTGATATGCTTGTAGAAAGTTGCATGCAGGCAAGTCATCCTTGGCTACAACCACCACCCACCCTCTGCATTCTCATGCACCACCACTCTTCCTCTATACTCTACACAGAGACAGCTTATTTGTTGCATATATACATATTTTTGTGTCATGTTCTGCATTTGTTGAGTTGAGAATAAGGTGCATTTATAGGCAAAGGGCATGTGAGATAAGCAGAGGGATAGGGATAGAGGGGATAGGGGATAGGGATATGGGATTGGGAATATATTCTGGAAATGGGAATGCAGTAGAAGAACAGATACGCATTTCCAAAATGCCCATTTTCTCTCATCTCTCTCTCTTTTCTGCTAAATCCACACTTGTCGCCCTCCCATCACTTCCCCGATTCACTGCTCTACTCTCATTATCTTTTATAGACTGCCTCAGATTGGAAAACAAGAAAATACTACTCTCTCTAATATCATCAAATCCCCTTCTAGACTCGACACTACGTTCGTGTCAAACATTGCTTTAATATTTGCAAGTAATTTGCGATCGTGATCTTTGTTTTCGACCCTGATGTTACCACGACCTTCAACTGTGCTGTCGTGCACAAAATTAGCTTAGTTAGGGTGGAATTTGTCCTCAAGGTATTATGAAAGAAAAGTTGTGTCAGAACTCATTTTTTCCCCGGAAGAGATGCTTTAGTATCTCATTTGATTTCGTTTTCAGAATAATTTTATCTATTTATTTAAGCCAATTTCTAGAAATGCTTTTTAATTTTCTTTTTGTTTGCTTTCAAATTCAATATTTGTAGATAATGATATGGTAAAATATAGTACTTTCTTTTCATTTGTGGTAAACATCCAAATAATAAAATTTTAATGCAATTTTATTAGGAATTTGAAATTAGTTTTGGCGAATTCTAAATGCCAAATGACCGCATAAGTTTTATGGTAAAGCTAGATGATTTCAACGCATAAATGAAATGAATTTGTGAAAATATCACATTGATTTCCACTTAATCTCTTTCAATTTTGTTTTGAGCTTTATTTTAAATTCGACCTTCAACCTTTAGACACTAATTTTAAACTAAAGTATCATTGATTAGAAAATGAGAAAATCAATCACAAGTTTATAAAGATTTCTATCTCTATATGGTATAAGGTCCTGCACGCTTAGCAAACTATAGAATAAAATGTGATTTATTTACTAAAAGAAAAAAAAAGATAAAAAAGATATAGACATAAGTCCCCTTATCGACGATATTCAAA